TTCCGCGGGTTAAACATGTTTGACGTTGAATCTATGGTGTACGAGCTCCTTTTACATAGAACTTTTACGTTCACTTTTCTCTTTCGATCACATGCATAAAATGCATTCTATATCATTCGTTCAATTTTAATGTCAAACGAAGCTTCTCTGCTATATGAATATTATGCAAAAGGGTGACATCGTGGAATACAAAGTACGTAGAAGTAGAAAAATTGCAATAGATTCTTAGCGCAAAAGGATTTATCTGAAGGCAGTCTTTCTGACTTGAATATGCACATCGAAGTATGCGCATTGTGCATCATTCATCCCGGACTCTCGCCTTAAGGAACGATCGCAATCGATTCAATGTAACATACTAACAGAACTTCGGTGTAAGCCGAGGTTTCTCCCTTTAAAGATTTCCATTTACCTTATTTGTTTTCTCATGACTTGCAAATTACTATGAAATTAGAGAAGTTGTACAAATTTGTTGTCTCGCTGTATCGTAGTCGCCACTCGTGACACGGATTATGGTCGTAACGTTAATTTTTAGAGTTAAGAATTTCTGGAAACGAAGCGAACGTATTTATTAATCAACGTTTAAAAATAGAAACGGAGAGCGGGCTTAATGAATGTTTGCGTTAATATAGACGTCGATCTAAATGGTGATGGATCGTGAAGTCTTGTTCTTCTAATGAAATAATAGAACGAGCAGCAACGTTCATTTGCAGTTAAATTACGTTTTACTGTAATAGCGAAATTCTCTATTTTAATTCAACGAGCAAGCACATTGTCAGTAATGGGCTCAGAACACGTCTGCAAATATATTATATTCATCGTTGTTTACTTCATCAGTTCGAATTCAATTAGCAGCCTCTATTAGCGAGGTAAATTAATCTCTGACAGAGAAGTTCTAACTCTCCGCATCGAAATTGATGATTTTACGCAATAAAGTGTGCACCGAGACTTTTCTGACAGTCAATCCAACAGTTGCACCAAAGTGCGTAAGTAAAAGTAACATTTTAACCCCTTCCCTCGATGACATAAGAAGTACCTCAAGAATGAGGTATAACTGTAACCTTTGAAAGTGACAAATTTTTCAATATTTTCATGGGAAAATTAACATGATAAACAAGCAACTTCTTTATTAGCAACTTTCTATAAAAATATACATTTGCATGAACATCTACGGTTTAATTAACACGTACGCTTCTGAGAAACATTTGCTGAAGAAAAATTGATCCAACTGCGGAAAGCGAGAAAAAAAAAAACAGGAAATATCATGAACCCTGTCGACTGACCTAAACTATCAATCCCACGACACGATGTCCTGAACTTCCGCCATGGAAGTTGACGAGCTCGCGTCCAGCGTCGACATAAAGTACACCTCTCCGTGCCGGTCCCTCGTTGTATCGCATAATTACCAGGCTTTACAGCGCTCTTTACACTTGTTTCCTCACCGCTGTATCTCCCTCGCATCGGCTTGTAACCGGAGATCGTAGGAGAGAATTTCGCCGCGTACGCTTCGCGTGTATAAATCCGCGAGCGTGTACGCGGGACCCGGGGAACAATTTTCTTTTTTCCTCGTTCAAACGAGGGACGCGCGTAGATAAAGACCTATCGGCAATATAGTATCAAGAGCGGCGTAAATAAGGATAATACAGCCTGGCAAGGGTATACTTCCTGCTAGGCGTGTAGGTGTACCGGTATAAAAGGTAGATTAGATTGGCGTTACCTCCCAACAATAAACTTAATCCCGTGGTTATTAAAAGGGGATCGTAACGTCAGCCTAGAGTTTCCCGCTTATCGTTCTGAAGATTCGTTACAATTCCTCGAACATTGTTGACAATAATCAGGCAGAGAATAAAAATATTTTTAAAATTTTCAAACAATTTATTCTTAAGAAATGTAAAAATTAAAAATTAAAAGGAAATTGTTAAAATTTAGTGCGAGTTATATAGATTGAAAGAAAAACAACCAAGATAAAGTTACAACCATTTCTTTATTAAAATATTAAAGCTAAATTTCTTTAGAAAAATGTATAAATTTATAACAATAAGATCAATTCTGTTTACGAGACGGTATCGTCGCGGGTAGGCTGGCGAAAGGAACGCGGCGAGGAGAGGTCGCGCGTACGCGCGTGTACAAGCGATACAGGCGTAGCCGGTCGCGAGCTAGCGCGGAGGGAATCGCGAGAAAGCAGGAAGGTCGCGGAGTCGAGGAGCCGAGCGGTCGAGACCCCGAAGGAATGCAACAGCGGCTCGAATTAATAGATCGAGGGACCCGGGCGAATTTATCCGCTTCGTGGCGGCGAGTTTAAAAGCGGCGCGGGTCTCCTTTGCATCTCGATCTCCGCTGCAACGGGGACGTATGTACGCGGGGGCCCCTCTCTGCATATACGCTGGAACGTAGAACCTACGGGCTGCAGAACACTGAGAGAAAAGAACCAGAAGGAGAAGACAGAGCGGACGTTAAAGTGGAGAACTCTAACCGTAAGGATACGTAGCCATGTACAGTCTGTAACACAACAGCGTACACGCGATATCTGGAAAAGTTGATACCTAATGAGGCGGTGATTGTGATCATTTAAACATATACACCCTTTGTCTTAATATTGTTTATATCATTGGAAAATAAGAGTCCTTCTGAGAAGAAGGGTTATTTTAATTTATAAAGTTATATTAATTTCAGTTTTGTTTAGTATTACAAACCTGATACGAACAACATTGTAACTTTTGTTACAGAGTTTTGCAACTATAATACAAACATATTAAAAAAAAAAATCTTTTTTTCTGTCCAGGAACCATGATTTTATTACAACTATTTTTAACTCTAAAAAATAATAAATTGTAACTTTATATTTCCTGACTTTCTGTCTTAAAAACATTATATTTTGAATTACAGAAAATATGAACCATTTATGAGTATTCAAAAAAATAAGAAAATTGCTATGCTTAAATCCTTCTAAAAAATAGAGTCAAAAGATTGTAAATCGCTAGTTACAATGTTATTTATATCAAGTGTCGATATGTTTTATCTGAAGGAAATTCTGACCACGTTACTTGAACTCTCTTCTTCTTCCTCCTCTTTGTCGCCTCCTTTCTTCTGCCCTTTCTTCTTGTTTTCTTGACGCTGGCTCAGCTTTGGCCTGTGGGATAAGTAAGAGAGACACTGGCCCGGTGATGAGTCCAGACAACGGTTAGATAACGGGGAATCGCATTTAGATAAGAAGCGCGGAAGAGACCATTGAAAATATTTGAATCCAGGGACGCGCAAGGGACTCCCATTAAGGGCACAGACTCCTTGTGCCATGACCTGTATGCGTGCACTCACACAATCAACGGAAAGCATGCACGTATACGCCATGCGCGAGAGAGACATTCAATTTCGTAGAATCGATTTTTCGTCTTGATAATTGCATAAATAAAATTTTCGCGAGTACAGCACACACGGGTAGACTTCGGCACAGGTCGGTCTGGTCCGCTTGAACGCTAATAAACACCATTCGTTGAGAAAAACCGTATTTTCGAAATTGTAAGATTGAGACAGACGCTGTTGTAAGCAAACAACATGGCTGCCGAATGCTGCGTTCGGCTGCATTTTAGCAAATATTGGACGATTTAATGGTTTTTTCACCGACAGCACACCAGACCGACTTTCCTTAAACTAGCACAATATCACTGAAATTCGATTTTTCACAATTTATCACTTCTGGAAGACGTAAAATCGATTCTACGATTTGCACGCATCATACGTAAAATAGACATAAGAATAGTTCAATGATTTTCCGTCAGAGGCATTGATGGTATATTTGACCACGTTATCATCAGGGTCGATAAAAACACAAATCAATCGATAAATGTAAATTCTAATTTGACACCACCAACGGCTACGCGAATATAGCCACAAGTAAGGCATAGTTGCCGCAACGTACTGTTCACATCTGTTACAAATCGAATCATCAGCTCGAGCCGAGAAAGAGGTCCGAGAATGAAACAATACATATATTAATGTGTGCAACCATAAAACTGTTTAATTCATATTTATAATCATGTTTTTTTAACAATGCAATTAAAAATATGCCAGAAGAATGAATTATAAAACTTGCTTATTTCGCAATATTTTACAAAATAATACACATAACGTACGCGACCATAAAACTTATAGGAATGAGAACTACAGGACATTATTAATTTCAAGAAGGTGAAGCGGAGGTAGTGAGAATGCAACAATTATTGAGTAATTCTTACATTAATTCTAAACGCGTCCTATAAATATAAAACAAATAATCGGCGGCCGATGCTCGCCGGTGACAACTGATCGCGCGGACGGCGTAATACGTGCGAGTGAGAAAGCAAGATGGCGAGACGGACTGTGTTTTGTCGCACAGAATGACATCGGTTTTGTCTGTCTCGTCGCGAATATTCTCACCCGCGAGTCTGACGCGATTATTCGCCGGAGATCCGCTACGAAGGGAATAAAAAATAAACAGATGTGTAATTTCTTGAAATTTTTTATTTACTTATAAAAATTAAAAACGTATTCTCCTCCAGGAGGAGGACCACGACGGCCTCCTCGTCGCCCTCGGCGCCTGCCACCGCGATATCCGCCGCGACCACCGCGATAGCCGCCGCGGCCGCCGCGGCCGCCGCGGCCGCCGCTATATAGAATTTTTTTTAACATCTTCTTAATCTGAAATATAATAATGAATTTTAATATAATTGTAGCGGACTATATATTCCATTATGTAAGATTGTGACATTATTAAAAAACCAAAAATAATCGTGGAAATTCATTTGCTACTATTGTAGAAATGATTTCCGTTTCACGAAAATCTAATTCTGCCACATTCATTACATAGATAAATCAACGTTTTTACTTACTTGCGACGTCGACGCCTTCTCCTTGCTCTCCTCTTTTCCTTGTTTCGCTTCCTTGTGTTCTTTTTCCTTTTCTTCTTCTTTTTCCTTTTCTTCTTCTTTTTCCTTTTTCTTTTCTTCCAATAATGCCGTAGAAAGTTTCAACGGAATCATCGCAAAATATACAGGAGGAAAAAGATTGAATTTCGGCGAGAGGGGATCTTACACGGGAAGATGTGCTGCTGCTGTCCTACAGTATAACACAAAACAAGTGTTGTCGCGTCTGAATACGGCGATGAACAAGGAACCGCCCGTTATTTTACGCAAAATAGAAAATAGAAGGAAGAAAGAAAATGAGAAATACAGTGAAAAGAGAAAGGAAAAAAAAATTACAAAGCACGTGCGGAAACAATTCCGTTCTGAAAAGGATTCCAATTACGGACCAAATGCTGAAAAGCCGGATATGGCTAACAATATTTATGAATTAGAGCAAAAAAAACATATGGAAATGTTACAGAATTGGCAAAATAGAAGAGATGCCATTGAAGAAGAAACCATCGGTCAAGCGAAAAATCCGAGATGGTTGAATTACAAATCTAAATTATTGACGGCCTCAAATTTCGGACGAATATGCCGTCGTCGAATTGGCACGCTCTGTGGAAATTCAGTGAAGTCGTTAGTATATCCACGACTGATTAGTGCACCTGCAGTACAATATGGACAGGAATGCGAAAAATTCGCACGTGAACAACTAAGTGTGTGCATTGGTGTTGAAATTAAAGAATGTGGATTATTTATTGATAGTGCCATCCCGTTCTTAGGAGCTTCGCCAGATGGACTTATAGACGAAGAGGGCATTGTGGAAATCAAATGTCCGAAAACGGCGGAGAATTTATTGCCGGAGGAGGCAATCAAAAGTGTTGCAGTTATTCGGCGTATATTTGCAGACGCAGAAGGAAATGAATTGAACAGGAACCACTACTATTACTACCAAGTACAAGGACAATTACATGTCACAGGTAGAAAATATTGCTTATTTTGTATTTGGACCCGAAAAGGGTTAAAGTACATTAGAGTCGATAGAGACGATAATTTTTGGCAAAAGAATATGGAGCCAAAATTAATTCAATTTTATTTATTGTGCATGTTACCCGAATTAATAGATAGCCGGTACAATAGAGGAATGCCCATTCGGGAGCCTCAATTTATAACAGAGGAGAGAGCAAGCTTGGAAAAGCGCAAAAGGTCTCTCTCAGAAAGTAGCACGAATATTGCTACTGTCCGGCGTCGCACTGCACTGTAAAGTGCAGTAACACTGACTCTGTTGGTGGTTCACAATTGCATGAAATAGCAATTGTACTCGCGGATCATACGATCTCGCGAGTTGTTCGACGCCGATATACACATTTTAAAATAGTGACCTTTGAAAAGTCAAAAAAGGTCTTATGCGGACAGTAATAAAAAATACTGTTACTGTCCGGCGTCGCAATGCACTGTAAAGTGTAGTAACACTAACTCTGTTGGTGGTTCACAATTGCATGAAATAGCAATTGTACTCGCGGATCATACGATCTCGCGAGTTGTTCGACGCCGATATACACATTTTAAAATAGTGACCTTTGAAAAGTCAAAAAAGGTCTTATGCGGACAGTAATAAAAAATACTGTTACTGTCCGGCGTCGCAATGCACTGTAAAGTGTAGTAACACTAACTCTGTTGGTGGTTCACAATTGCATGAAATAGCAATTGTACTCGCGGATCATACGATCTCGTGAGTTACGCGATGCCATACTATATTTCTTAATTTGTTACAGATTTTCGAAGAAAGGATTCCCGAGAAGAGGTTTTTTGGAGCGAAGCGAGCGTTGGACTCAAAATTTATTTTTTCAGCTGAAACAATTTTTTTCTTATTCCCTTCATGAAATTATTAATGTCCTATATCATCTATTTCCATTAACTTTTTCTTTTTTCAATATTTATCTTCATTCATCTTCATTCATCTTTGCATGAACATTTTTGTCGTTGAGAAATTAAAAACAGCATTTTCCTCTTCTCGAAATAAATTAAAAAATTATATATAGGTATATTCAAGAAAGCATTACCTAACAGGACAAATGGACTGCGAATATGCTGTTTGATCACGTATAATCGGCAAGTATAATCTTACATAATTAATATTACGTTATCTATACATAAATTGCTTTCTTCACAGATGGACGAGGAAGAAGAAGAAGAAAAGAAAGAGGATAGAAGAAACAGGAGAAAGAGGTCTAAGGAACGAAGTCGGATAAAAGGGAAGAGAAAGGAGAATCCGAGGCCGTCAACGTCGCAAGTAAGTAAAAGCGTTGATTCTTCTATGTAAGAAATGTGGCAGAATTAGATTTTTCATGAAATGGAAATTATGTCTACAACAGTAGCCATTATTATATTTCAGATAAAAATTCGATACCATAGCCATGACTGGGATGGCTGTCATGGTAATCGACGATGCAGACGTCGCGGAGAAAGAAGAGGCAGAAGCGAGCAGTGGGCGGCAGGCGACGGGCGGCCGTCTAATTATTATTTATATACCTATATTGATAATATTTAAATGAATAAATTGTATATATAGATCAATTTACATCTGTTTATTTTCCATTCCTTTTCTCAAATTATTAATGCCATGTAGTTTTTATTCGTATAAGTTTTATAGTCGCGTACGTTATGTGTATTACAGAGTCTCATCGAATCTGTCGTCGCGTGTGACTCGAACATATGTATTTCTGCCGATCGGTACTACGTTGTTTCATTCATGATACTCCTTCTCTTTCTATCGCGCTGTCCTTTTCTATGTCCGCCTGGAATTAAAATCTCGCTCGGCTCGAGTGAATTCATTTTGCTAGATGGTCAGGATTGTCACAGATGTGGCAACACCGCGACAGATCTCTCAAATGATGTGATTCGACAACTACGCCACCTCACTTTCGTTTCTTATTCTGCATAATGATGTTAGATGTCACACCGTCAAATGTCAAATTTCTCAATTAAGTGTTTTCATGATTGGCCGATTCTTTCCAATGGCGCTTATATCGATTCGGAGGAGGCCTCGAAGGAGTCTGTGCCCTTAAGCGTTCCGCTCCGTTCTGCTCGGCTCCGTGCCGCGTCGGCCCGGCACGTGCGCCGTAACCGATAACTTCCATATAAGAAATGTCCTCGCAATTAAATCGCGCCGCTTACTCTCCGTCGTTGCTCGTGTCCTTTTTTCGCATCTGCTCTTCCTTTTCTTCCAAGGAGCGTGAGAGAACTTTGGAAGGAAACTTCGAGGCGATCGCGATTGATTTGTGGGGGAAGATGTTTCGAACAATTAATTATCCAAGTAATTGATTCAATTTTAACGTTATTCATAACTGAAAGACCGTAGAAAAATATAATTGACTACAGTCAAATGATACAGAATTGTAATTTTAGAATTGTTTTTATGAAGTCATTTGACCTTTAAAACCATATGCCTGAGGGATCACGAAAAATGGCATTCGATAAATAACAGTGTATTGAACTTTCTCCGTAATTAAATAACGATGTTATGCTCCACAGCATAAAGGCAGCAAGATAAAAGACAGGTGTGTGGCTGCGTGTAAACAAGGCTCGGCCGCCTGTTCAATAATCGTCCTTTGAAGGGCCTCCACCTTGTCAAGTTTTATCTCGCTGTATACGACATTTTTTCGACTGTCATCGGCACCTTTGATAAGCTTTTCCTGTGTAAATTACCATGGCTAAAGGTCCAGATGTCAATTAACGTTGGCAATTAACGTTCAACGCAATTGACAATATATCAGGATTCTAATTTTACTCCTCCATGTACGTGAACTTTTATACAATTCGTGCTGTTCATTTTTACGATAAATTATTTTAAAATTCGAAAATGTACAAAAGAATTTTTCCAAATTTTGATCCGTAGAATATCGATGAGTTTAATAGAAAGCTATCGGTTAGCACAGTTAGGAAAGCAGGTATAATCGAGAAACGTGAATCCGGAGTCGGTTCGGCTTGCTAGGAGATGGCAGTACGAAGACGGGAACGAGGCCATGAAAAATGGTGTAATTTAATCGAGCGATTCGACACGGCATCGCCGCGACGTCCTTACCTGCCTAAGCTCTAAGAGGTGAGAAATGTTGCTCGTCCCGTGACCGATGTCTACACACGGCGCTGTCACGCACTGACATATCGCTCTGATAAAAGCACGACCCGGCCAACGGTTTCTCCCTCGGCTCACTTCGAGTCCTCGACATTTAAGTATTTCTTACACGGGGCAACGGATTCGATAGCTAATGTCCCGGACACGTCGCTTATAAGCTGCTCGTCGTCGACCTCGCGCGTTGAACCCACCTCGTAGGATGCCCGTTCACCTGAACCCTGACCAGGTCTCCAGCACGATTAATAATCCTACTCGGGAGTTGTCTTTTCACCACCGGTCTACAAGCTGCGACTCGGAAGCGTCTGCACGCGATCCGCTCGTGGGACTCGTCGAAAGTGGACCGACCAGCTTGTGGAAAGGTATCGAGCATCCCTCCGGCTATACTTTCGCTTATTAATAATCTTATTAATTCTCGCCTCGTTAGCTGGGACAAGGTTAAGAATGGACTCTCGTGGAAACGTAGAAATATCGTGTGTCCCTGGCACAGGGTGGTATTCGGTTGCCGGATAAGTTCTGTCCGTTTGGGAAATACACTTGGAGGAAGTAATTTTTTTTTATATAACAGAGTACTTAAAGTTTAATTGTGTTTTAGGAAAAGTCCTTGATGAACGCTTTTTGAAAATTTGCAACAGGTTTCTATCGGTACTTTCACCAATATTATTGGATAAACAGTAATTTTCATTGCATTGCATTAATTAAAAAATTGAAAATCAGCGTGCATCTGTATAATTTCATATTTGATAATAGGAACAGCGTCAAAATCATTTTTAGGCTGCATTCTAGCAAGTCGGAACGAAAGTAGGGTTGGAGGGGGCGTGTTTTACGTGGCAGGAACTCAGGCGGTCAATAGCATTTCCGGCTCGATCCCGTTTGAAACACTAGACGGGACGGTGGTGTAGCATTGAGTAATGCGGTGCGAAGTGGCAGTAATGAGGGGCATTAATATGCAATGAAAATGTCCCTACGCGGGCCGTGTTACTCGAGTGCGTGGGGTGTGTGAAACGCGCGATACCGGCGAGATAGTGAGCCAATATTAATAGCGGCCCTTCATTGTTCTACGATACGAGCGGAGGGTCGGCTCGACGAATCCCGGTTTCTCGATGTCTCGTTTCCTCGCGAGGAATAGAGAAGGCTTTAAATTAAGCACCAGACTCGTGGAGGGTGCAAGGAAACGTGCCAGGTAAAGAATGATCAGAGAAAGATTTCATCGAGTGGGTGATCGTTTTTCTTTTTAACAATCTTTATTATAAAATCGAGGGTATTATCATTTCCATATTCTATCATTTCAATGAAATAATCAAAGAAAACCGATGGTTAAACATTTCTATTAAATTTTTAATATTAACCATTATCACTAACCATCCTTATAAGAAAATTAGTGTTGAACAGTAGAACAGTTTCATTGAATCATTATTCGAAAAAATAGCGTCCATCTAAACAAATCTCGAAACCAATTAGCCATCGAGAGTCGAGCAGCACGGGTCAACCGTTGGCGCAATTAATCCGAGGCCGCTTTTCTATTACCCCCGGCACGTACGTCAGTCGTACTCGCGAAAAATGCTCGGAGCGGATCTCCGCTGACGGCCAAGCCTCTTCTTTCTTCCTCTCGCTCGTGTTCACAATTAGGAAACGGCGTTCGTGCATCGCGACAGGCATGTAATTAGCGCAGGCCCTTGCGGCCGTGCATATTTCGATGGTTGCATCCGTACGTTATGCCCGGCCACGGTACCCGCGGCTACCACGGTCGGTGCACGCTCGTGGAGGAGTACGCGGAGCGAGAAGAAGGTACGGTTGCTTGCTTTCATACGAATATAACAGAGGAGGGAAAGAGGGCGGCTTTCCGCGAGCCGAGCCGACGGTTTTGGCACGACTCGGTCTCGCCTCTAAATTAGTAATTGCAGCCTCCGCGTGACGTGGCGCCCCGATAAAAAAGGCAACCGGGCTCTGTAATGCCCGGCGATACGAGGTCACGAACCACCGGGCTAAAGTGAATACTTATCCGTGGCGGGTCGGTACCTCGCGAGCGCGCGTATACCTACATGCACACGCGAGATAACGCGCCGCGGCGTGTTCACGTGAACACGCTCGTGTACGTGCGAGAAAGAGGGAGAGCTAAGCGAGGAGGGGGCGTAATCCGCGGCGACGTGTATTCCCACGTCGTGCTTTCTCCGCGGCGAACGCTCGCGGTGAATCGGCCTCCGCTGACCGCTAGCCGAGTTGATCGCTAATCCCGCGGAAGCGCGAGACCGATCTTTGCCATCCTCGCCATCGATTCCAGCTGTTATCGCTCTTCTAATGCGCCACCATTCGTATGTTTGATGGTTGATCGGGGCGACCAACGGGTTGGATGTCATGGGAAAACAGCTGGCTGGAATTTCGTTAGCTTAGTTGAACTAATCATTTCCGTATGAAGCTTTAAGAAGGCTCAATCGGTAAAAATCTAATATTTAATTAAAAATAAACTAGTCGAACGGTAATTAATAGCAGAAGCATCGAAGGATGCACTGCCACGCTCGGAATGCGGCACTGTTCCAATGTTTCCCGCGAACAGATGTAGAAATATCCTTAACGGGAATGCAAATCTAGACTTATGCGCGGTGTATCGAACGTCACCTTCGTTCTCGTATCGTTTAAGTACGGTCACGTTCCCGTGCACGACTCTAAATATGTAGATCCCCAAAGATCTCGATGCCGGTAGACGGTCTCTGAATATTCCTCAGGCATCGCCGAATTCCATCCTACCCGGCTAACCGAGGCTTTACGATGCACGAGCGTCGTCGGATAGCGACTCGTTACTTAACAGGTCGCGCGCATCTGATATGCCGGAAAAATCGCGGCTGCCGACACGGAGGAAGGAAACAGTTAGCCGGGCACACGATCGATCGTGAACGACGATTGTTAGGCGCGTAATAATACGGCGACTCGGGGTTGCGAACGACGGGTAATTAACGACGCGATACAGACGGAATTCTTCGAACGTTCGACGCGAGGCAGGTGTTGAACGTTGCGTACGGGAAAAGCGTGTGTACGACAGATAAGCCGATGGCGACGCGACGCGTCGGTAGAAAAGGATGCCCGGGACGCAGCTCTCGGGGCTGAGCTATCTTTCAACGAGCACGCGCGATCGACACGAACGAACTGTGAATATTGAACAATTCTATCGAACTCGATTTATCGTCGGTACCATTTCGTCGTAGAAACTCAATTCCAGAATAGCCCGATTCAATTGGCAAGCGTGCAAGAACGGTGCACAAAGAGAAAGCAAAGCGTTTTAACTCGCACGATACCTGTGCTATCGAGCACGTGCAACGAGCCAACGAGGTAGGAAAGCAACGAGCAACACCGGCTGGGAGGGGTCGAGACGTCAGCTTTCGCGCTCGTTCGCGCTTCGAGACTGCGATCCTGGCCCGTCAAAGCGGGCAACGAGCGGCGCAAGGGCCGA